TGAATACTTCGACCTGCACTCCTTTCGTCATGTTTCATAAACCCAACTGGTTGTTTAACATAGACTTCTTCATCTAAGGGTCCATTTAGGAATGCACACTTCACGTCCATCTGACATATGTGCCAACTGTTGATTTCTGCTAGACCAACAACCAACCTGATTGTTTCGATCCTAGCCACAGGTGCAAAAACTTCGTCAAAGTCTATTCCTTCTTTCTGTAGAAATCCTTTCGCCACAAGTCTTGCTTTGTGTCGAGTTACTTCACCTTTCGAATTAGTCTTCACTTTGTATACCCACTTGACATCAATTGCCTTCTTGCCTTGAGGCAATTCAACAAGTGACCAAGTGTTGTTGTCTTCGATAGACTTTACTTCTTCGTTCATTGCTTTCACCCACTTCGAATCCTTTAATGCTTCAGCTGCATTAACAGGTTCGACATCTGCATAGAAAGCATAATGTACCAGCTCACCTTCATCATCTATTACATCATCTGATGTAATCACACAATCTTGCAATCTTGCAGGCATGTGTCTTGTTCTTTGAGGTCTGCTTGTACTGGGTATATCTGCTGGCTCCTCTTGTCGAACTTCTCTTTCGACTTGAGTTTCTGGCTCTTCGAATAAGATTCCCACTGAATCTTTCTTGACATTTACAGTCCAATCCCATTCTTTGAACTCATCTATGATCACGTCCCTGCTAATCACAATCTTCTTGTTCTCTGGATCGAACAACTTGTAGCCTCCTGTCGAATGATATCCAACTAGGATCATTTGACTTGACTTGTCATCAAGTTTCTTTCTCAACTGATCTGGCACATGTCTATGTGCAATAGATCCAAATACTTTCAGATGACTTAAGCTAGGCTTCACACCAGACCAACATTCTTCTGGAGTAATTCCTTCTAGCTTCTTTGTAGGACTTCTGTTCAAAATGTATGTTGCAGTCGAAACAGCTTCTCCCCATAATTCTTTGGGTAAATTCTTGCCTTTCAACATACTTCTCACCATGTTCATTATGGTTCAATTTTTCCTTTCTGCAATTCCATTTTGCTGTGGAGTATAGGGTGGCACCACCTCATGCACAATCCCTTCTTTTTCACATAATTTGTCGAAATCTTCTGACACATATTCTCCTCCACCATCAGTTCTCAAAACTTTGAGCTTTCGACAACTTTGTCTTTCGACCATGGACTTGAACTTGATAAATACTTCGAACACTTCACTTTTCTTCTTGATCAGGTAAGTCCATAGCTTTCGACTGAAATCATCTATGAATGTAACAAAGTATTTGTTACCTCCCATCGAATCCACCTGGATTGGTCCACATACATCAGAGTATATGACTTCGAGATTAGCCTTCGATCTGCTTCCTGCATCCTTGCTGAAGCTGTTCTTGTGTTGCTTCGCTTGCACACATTCTTCACATACTTCGTTTGGAATGTAAATTTCAGGCAATCCTGAAACCATATTTCATCTCTTCAAATCTCTGATGTCTCTGAAGTTGAGATGACCTAGTCTATAATGCCATATCCATTCATCTCTGCTAGCTGCAGTCGAAAGGCACTTGTGCTCCATCACATTTAGTTCAATCTTGAAGGTTCGATTCTGAGACATAGGAGCCTTCAAGATTACTCTCCCATTTGCATCAACAACTCTCATCAACTTATCTTCGATTGATACTTTATAATTCTTTTCGACCAACTGCCCTATACTCAGCAAATTGCTCTTCATGCCTGGTATGTACAATACATTCGAAATTACTGACTTCTTGCCATCTTTCCTCATGATCATAACATCACCAATACCTTCAGCTGCTAGGGTGTTGTCATTCGCAAATTTTACCAAATTTTTCGTTGAGGGTTTTATGTTGACGAACCAGTCTTTCCTTCCAGACATATGTGATGAACATCCTGAATCCAAGTACCGTTGGTCCTTGAATCTATCTTCATCTCTTGTTGTGACCATCAGCATCATCTCTTCTTCTTCTTCATGTTTTGCCAGCTTTGCATCACTTTCTTGATTCTTTCGTTTTTCTGGACAATCACTCGAATAGTGACCATACTTCTGACAATTATAACATTGAATGTGACTCTTATCAGGTTTCCGACCACCACCTCTTCCTCTGTTTGCAGCACCACCTCTTTGGTTGCCTTGGTGTGGTCTTCTTTGATTCGACACGTCTCCTTTGATTTGGTTTCCTCTACCATTCGATTTGTTGTAGCCACCTCTACTTCTGTCGAAATACTTTCCTTTGCCTTTGGTTTCTTTTGCTGAGTGTGCCTGCAAGGCCACATCACTCTTCGATTTTCCTGCAGCTCTTTCGTTCATTCTTTGTTCATGAGATTCGAGCGTCCCTTGAAGCTCTTCCTTTGTCAATTTCGACAAGTCTTTCCCTTCTTCGATCGCCACCACTATGTGGTCGAACTTAGGAGCTAAGGATCTCAAGATCTTCGAAACAACAGCTCTTGTTGTTAATGCTTCTCCACATGTCTTGATTTGATTCACTAGTTTTGTAACTCTAGTGAAGAAATCAGATATGTTTTCACTGTCTTCCATCTGAAGCAGTTCATAGGTCCTTTTGTGAGTTTGTAACCTCACTTCTTTCACCTTCTCAGCGCCTCCAAAAGACTTCTCCAGGATCTCCCAAGCTTCTTTTGCAGATTCTGAATCACCAATCTTCTCGAAATTGTCTGGACTGACACATTGATGAATTATAAACAATGCTTTATAACTCTGTTTCTCAGATTCTGTATATTTCTTCTTTTCTTCTTCTGAAGCGTTTTCGCCAAGCGCTTCGACTCCATCTTTTACAAGGTCCCAAAGGCCTTGACACCTTAATAGGACTTTCATCTGCTTGCACCAATTCTCATAGTTGTCAACTTTCAGAATTGGCAGCGTTGCTGGATAGTTTGCATTCCCATAACTTGTCATCGTGAATTCTTCAATCGTTCTTGATTGATACTTCCCTTGAATCGTAACACAAGCTCTTGATACCAGATGTTGGAAATCCACCAATACTTTATGATGAATTTCGACCACCACTTGATGATAAGTTATGACAAACAAATAAAAGAACAATGGAGATATTTCTGCAGAAATTTCTATTCTGCCCACAAACTGTAGAATCTTTATTATTCACTTTGCAACTGCAAAATACTGTGAATGAGTTGATTACAAAATAGGGGTTACTCCCTCTATTTATAGATTTAGGTTAGATTGCTCCCTAAGCTAAACCCAAGCCCAAAATATCTCTTTACTAAATCAAATCTAATCTAGATTTAAATTCAAATCTATTTAAATCTAAACAAATCAAATCTTCTTTTGACACCTATGAATTACAATTTAACAAATTCCACTTTGAATTTTTAGTTGAATGAGACGTTGAATCCATGCATATTCATGGTAAATTTTTTATCCCACTTTATTCAAAATCAATTCTCACATTTATAACTTTTATTCACATTCTATTCTCACATTGAATATATCAATCTCACTTTAAATTTTAAAATTTTAATTGAATATTTAAATTTATTTGTTTCAAACAAAAATTAAAACATTTTTTTATGGGAACAGATTAACTTATTTCATTAATAATAATATATTGGATATATGTTAAGAATATTAACAAAATTATGAAAACTAGCAAAAGATGGAGCTATATGTGCTAGAGCATGAGCAATCTCATTAGCTTGTCTTCTAACGAACTTAACATGAGAGTTCCTAAAAAAGAGTGCTATCAACCGGTTACAGTCGCCAGCAATAGTACCGAAATCCGAGTCATTGGATTTCAAATCGGTCACACTGTCCACAACCCACTTTGCATCTAACTCAAAATCCATATTATCGTATCCCAGTTCATGAACCCACTTTAAGGTTGATATGAGTCCTAGAGCTTCTCCAATAACAACATCAGTACATGGTGAAAACCATTATGTCTGAGCTGCAACGAACTGACCCGCATTATCTCTAATACAAGCACTAATACCAACTTTATTATGAGTAAAAGACGCATTAACATTACACTTGACGCGACCCCTCATAGGTTTGCTCCATCTGATATTTTCTGGCGAAGGGTTAATAATCCTATTATTGGAATAGTGTTGCTGGGCCTCTCTCCAATCTGTCAATATCTGAGAAGCTCGCTGACAAAAAACAGTCGGGGATTCTTCTTCCTGATTCTAAACATGATTATTTCTCCCTTTCCAGATACTCCATAAAATAAGTAAAAAAATGTCATGTTTGTCTTTATTGGATACCAACAAAAAAACCACAGACGCGAAGATCTCTCCATTGTCACTAATTTGCTGCAACATAGACCAAATACCACATTTTTCCAACATTCAATACTCTTCACCATTCCTACATTCGACACAATTTGAAGGACAATTGATACCTTTGTCCAACAGTCTCCTTCTAGTAGGTGCACAATCTCTACACATACGCCACAGAAAATTCTTAACTCTGTGGGAGGGGGGGGGGGATTGATGTTCCACAACAAATTCCAGTTCTCCTTGATTCTAAGATGAGAGGTGTCGATGGCATCATTGATACAGAATTTGTAAGCACTGTGAACCGAAAAATCATCGTTACTATCAAGCTTCTAGAATAATTTATCAATCTGGACAACAAAGAAAAGAGGAGTATTGTGAATCCTTTGGGAGACCTCTTCCCCTACGAGCGCTGAGATCAATTCTTGGTTACACTGCTTACCATTGGACTCATTAAATCTGAGACTTAAAGATTATTCACAACCAAATTATAAGGCCAATGTTTAATTAGAGATGTACCATCTGATAGCCAATTCTGGCCCTAAACCGAAATTTCCTCTCCCGATCCTATACTCCACTTTATCCCATCTTTAACCACAAATTTGGAGCTCTAGATGCTGCGCCATACATAACTAGGATTGTGGCCAATATTAGAGTTAAGATAGTCACATTTAGGAAAATACCTGGCTTTATACAGGTGGGACACAAGGGAGTCAGGATTGGTCATGAATCTTCAAGCTTGCTTGCTTAACATCGCAAGGTTGAACGCATTGATGCTTTTGAAGCCCATACTATCATCATATTTCGGTATGGATAAGCGGTCCCAAGAAAGCCAATGTATACCTTTAGATCTATCTCTTTTATGACCCCACCAAAATGAATTCATCATCTTCTCAATCTTGTCGATTAAGGATGATGGAAGTAAGAAGATACTCATAATATAGGTCGGAATAGATAGCAGCACAAACTTTACCATAATCTCTTTCCCTGCTTGTGACAAACTTTTACTACTCCAAGTATTAATTTTTCTCCAAATCATGTCCTTGATAAAACTAAAAGCTGTTGTTCTACTTCTGCCAATCATGGAAGGAAACCCAAGATAACTACCTATTCGTAAGACCCGTTGAACACCTAAATACGTAGCTAAACCATTCCTGGTATTAGAATCAATGTTCCTGCTGTAGTAGAATTCAAATTTATATAAGTTGATAGCTTGACCAGAAGCTTCCTCATACGTAACCAAAATATCTTTCATAACATTAGTTTTTTTCGGTATTAGCTCTGAAAAATAGAAAGCAATCATCGGTGAACAAGAGATGAGAGATAATAGGAGCATTCCTATAGATCTTGATATCATGGATGTCACCTCTATTTTCTGCTTTCCTTATAAGAGCAGTAAACCCTTCCACACAAATAATGAATAAGTACGAAGATAAGGGGTCACCCTGTCTCAATCCACGTCCAGGAATAATAGGTCTGACCATATTACTATTCGCACTCACTGAATACTCCACTGTTCCAACACAGAGCATAATCCACCCGATCCATTTTTGACAAAAACCCATAAAGGTAAGCATGTCCTTCAAATAATCCCAGTCAATTCTATCATAAACTTTACTGATATTCAATTTAAGATCTATCTCACCAACTTTTCCTCTAGTTTTAGTTTTCATGTGGTGCACCACTTCAATAGCGGCCATAGCATTGTCCAGAATAGATCTATCGGGAACAAAAGATGACTGATTATTAGAGATACACTTTCCTAAAATCCTCTTGAGACGATTAGCAAGACCTTTCACTATCACTTTGTAAATAACATTACAAAGAGCTATCGACGGCCAATCCTTCATTGAAGTTTGATTATCACCTTTAGGAATGAGAGTGATATTGGTTTTATTGAGGTTTTGCATAAAAATACCGGTTTTGAGCCAAGCACAACCTGCATGAAAAACTTTTGCGCCACATGTATCCCAGAACTGATGATAGAAACCGGGATTATACCCGTGTGGTTCAGTAATCCAAGCATTTTCAAATCTGAATTTCTTCTGAGCACTCTACTCACTCGCGTGACTGGTGTAGCTAAGAAAAATCAGGTAATGATCCAAAGAGGCGGCAGTCAATCATTCCAGTTTTGCATTCAGGAATACATTACTCCAATATGCATTTGGCATTACTCTATCCAACTTCTCTTCCACAACCCAGTTAGTACCTAAGCTTTTGAACCAAGTAAAAGAGTACCCTTCCAGGGTAATATCAATCAGTCCAGCATCCTGAATAGCTTGTCTAAAACCATTTATCAGCCAATTTGGTCTTTCAATTCTGCCTTTCTTCTCATTGGAAGACAAAATGTCGTTGAAGTCGCCGATGATGCACCAAGGTAGATTGGAACTGTCAGAGAGGTTTCAGATTAAGTCCCAAGAATCTCTTTTGCGAGTGCTCTCGGGTAATCCGTAAAAGCCAGTGAGTCTCCAATTGCCTTTTATATTGTCTTCAACTAATATGTCAATGTGATTATTAGAATAATTTTGAATGGAGCAATTATTATATTCTTTCCATAACACAGCCATACTACCACTTCTACCAATACGGTTAACCGAAAAACAACAATCAAAGCCCAGAGATTAGCGTAAACTTCCACTTTATTATAGTAGCTTATTGTTTCAAATAAAAATAAACTTCCTATTTATGCCTTCGGATGAGGTATTTAAGATTCGAAACTACACTCGGGTTACCCAGGCCCCGGCAGTTCCAGCTTAACACGATCATTTTTCTTGGCAGGCCTGCTGAGCAGTGCCCGCCATTATAACATTGACATCATGATTGGGAATATCCTGCTTGGGTTTGTCAAATCCCGCAGCTCCCCATTTTAAGCCTACACCTTCGAGAATCATATCCTCTACAACATTATTATATGTCTTTCTATGTCTCGTCAGCTCAGGAAAAACCACTTCATCCGTGTGAATCCTTTTCTTCACTGTAATTGTGTCACTGTCATGTTTGAGATCCATATCTGCAGTTTTGATTCCTTTTAACCGAGCCTTACGTCGAGCCTGGATTTTTATGGATAGTTTTGTAGCAGGTATTTTCTTATTGTTGATTGTGTTATGAGCTCCCTCAACCTCTTCCAACCTTACCAAAAAATTGTTGTCAGGTGGATTCTTCAGCGCCTCACATATAATCGGGCCTGCTATAGCTGCAGCAGTACCGACCTAAAGCACATTAGATTCTGGGCAAACACATCACTTTGCTGTCCAAGATTCCATGAAGTGTCAATCTTCTTGTTCTTCCGAGTTGGCTTGTCTTCACTAATTGGATTAGTCGCACTAGCATCTTTGGCGCTAGCAGGCTTCAGGATATTGTTAGCAGCAGAGTTGTTATAGACATGAGGCTCCTGGCCATTAGTCAATAGCAGAATTTCTGCAGCAGTAGGATTATTGGCTTCACTGACCTGTACCATTTGCATTTTCGATTGAGTTACCCATAGTCAATGCATTACCTCTATCAATAGGATTAAAAGCAATCCAGCTATTAGAGGATGCACTGTTCCTATCAGCAAGTTTTAAGAAGACCAACTTTTTTGAGTTTGGGTCTCTGTCGATAGCAACTCTCCAGTACAGCATATGCTCATTTCTGGAATCGATGTCTGTAGCTTTACTCGATATTTCCTCATTCTTCTGGTTGTTGATGGCACCTGCTCTGTCATATTTGTCTTCACCTTCATTTGTCCAACCATTACGTAACCACCTGTTAGCGCCATCGTTGCCTCCTAGAACACCAGATTCCGCTCTCAAAAAATTACCCCAACCTTTTGTTTCGTTACAAATGTTGGAGCAAAATCTCATGTCACAAAACTTCTCCGAATGGTCAATAATTCGGCACAGAAAATATAAAGTACCCAGTTTTTCAAATTTGAAAATTAGCTGGACCTTGTCTCGTTCAACCCTATCAAACGCCCAACTCCTTTTCAAAGGAAATTGCACATTAACAACCACCTTTATCCATACAATCCTTTCAGTGATAATAACCCCAGCCAGCTTAACTTGTTGGATGTACCTGAAATAACTCCTCTAGACCATTGATGAATACCAAATCCCCAGAAATATCTCAGTATAACAATAGAAAAGGATAAAATCAATTTCCTTCCAATCACTTGTTAATTTCCATTTCCCCATAACTGTCTCAATGCATAGGTATATAAGGATATAAATGATTTCTCCACTTGTTGCAAAATTGAGAAAGATACTACAATCTTGAATATTTTGAAGCCAGAATCAAAGCATACTTACTTGCAGGATCCGCCCACTTAACAGAGACAATAAACGCATGATTCCTAGATATTCCAAGGCGGCCATCTGATTTCTCCAAATTAAAGCAATTGAAACTTTCCTGATTCAAAAATGTCCAGCCGCGCCAAAGGGATTCAAACACAACACCAGACTCCCAACTTATATTCATGGCAATTCAAAACAAATCTCCCCCAAATTAAAAGCAATAGGAGCTTTCTTGATACAACAAAATCCAGCCGCGCCAGAAGGATTCAAACACAAACCAGATTCCCATCTTGGATTCAGGGCGAATCAAATCAAAACCATCACACAGATTCTCGCAGATTGCATGATCAAGGAGAGGCACAAAAAAACTAAATTCTTGAACTTCATTTTCTTAACAAACCATCTAAAATGTCTGTTAAACCTTAAGTCCAAATATTTCAAGAAAATCACTTTGTACCCCAATTGTTGCCCCTAAGATCCCTCCATCATATCATATCAACTCAATGCAACAAGATCACACACTAGAGTTTGATTCTTCTCTCTATCTTTAGGTTTGCTCTATGGGGAATCACCAAGGACCTTGACTTATATTTTGTGACCATCTATATTTTTATTATCATTTAACTAATAAATACAATGTATGTTTTCCCTAATTGTTGATGGTGTAGGTGAAAACACAATACATTCTATCAAGATTGATCTATGGATTCATGAGTTCATTTATGTGCCCTACTCAACAAAGCTTCATTGAGATTCAAGCTTCATCATTGAAGATGATTTGAAGTGACATTATGACAAAGTCTATTATAATTCGTCATACTTCAAGTTGTCAAAAAATAGTTCAAAGGTACAAGGTTTGATTGAACAAATTTGACTCAATTGGACAAGTCCTTGATTCATTGATCATAAGAGCATATCTCCTTCAATTCTCAAGATTTGAAAGTGGTTTTTGTTGCTATGGTCTCTCCTTATCACCCTTAACAACTTATATTCATATGACAAGTATTTGTCCAAGAAGGTTGGTCAAAATTGCAAAGGTTTCCCAAGGCATTTTCTTGTTCTAGGAGCTAGGGTTTTGAACTTCAAAGGGGTATATCTTACTCATCTTTTGGTATTTTTGAGTGATTCCAAAGACATCCTTATCTTCCAAGGGTTATTAAAAAATCACTTCAAAAGTTTCAAGGAAATTTTGTGTAGAAGAAACTTGACGATGAAGAAAAATTACAAGTCTTCCAGATGAACCCTCAAATTCCATAATGTGATTTCAAAAGATCATAACTTGGTTAATTTTTATCACCTTGAGCTTATTATTTTTCCACAATGATCTTAAAGATGTGAAATTAACCCATATTTTAAGTGCAAAGTATGAAAATGGATGGAAGATTCCCTAAGGATGCAAAAGATTATAGCTCATTTCATGAATTTTTGCCAACTTCAACAAGTCATAACTTTCATAATATTTGGACATTTTGAATGGTTCAAGTCTCAAAATTTCATTCAAGAGATCTACTTCATGCCATTTGTTTTTGTCAAGAGCAAATTTCAAGTGGAAGGCCATGTTTGGATGTAAGACATTACAAGTCATTTTTGAAGAAAAACTTAGAAATTTTCTAAGTATAGAAAGTCAACCTCTTTTTCTCAACTTTGAATCATTACAACTTTCATCTCAAGCATCCATTTGATCACATTCTTGGCACATTGTAAAGTTTGTAATCTCCTATTTCTAAAGCTTCAAGAATCATATCCTAAGACTCCTTGAGTTGAGAATGCCATTGTTTTGAATTTGGTAACTTGAAACTGAATTTCTCACCAAGTCAGAATTATAAAATCCATGATGTGGCTTCTAATCATAATATTTGTGCGTGTTTTTTATTTTAACTTAATTAACAAACTTTCCAGAGGTGTTTAGCACCTCAAAACACAAAGATTGGATGAGTTTTTATGAAAATGAAGCCACACTTCACTCGTGCTCGACCTCCACCCAATTTCCCTCCAAACTTATTTGTTTTCTCCAATTTTTATTGCCATTTGTTTTCCTATAAATAGAGGACCTTATTCCATTCATTTCCTCAAGCTTTGAGATCCAAACGCACCCTGCCAAAACCTCACACGAACTTCAAATTTTTTAAATCAGTTTCTAAAATTTAAGCTTCTTTCTCCAAAATTCTTTGCACATTCATCATCCTCCATCATCATACAAGCTCTCCAACACTTAAACCAAGCATAACGAGCCATAATCCAAGCTACAAAAATCCATTTTTAGAGCTTCATCCTTGAACTTCGTACAGGTAGAATTCTCCACCATTTATATCCAAACGTAGCACTAACATACTCTACTCCTCATTCTGATTCCTATGCTCCTTACAATTTTTAAATTCATTGAGAAATGAGTGGGAAATCTCAATTTGTTTGTGCTCGCTATTTTTTGAGTTTTTGATCCATAACTCCTTGCACACTTTACATAAATTTGGCGCGATGGTGGGGTTTAGATCGTCTTGAAGAGACGAATCTAATGATACTAGTTTGAGTCTCTAATTCTTCCATTTGAAGAAACTCACAAAATCTCCATTATAGGGTGTCTGGAGGTTGAAGACGATGACATGTCTCGTCTCAACCAATGATAGCGTGCCAATTGTTTTATTTTTATTGGTTGACCTTTTTTTGATCCAGTGTATTTTCAAATAAGGCCCATATCAAGCACTGTGTGTATGGTCCACTTGATCTGCTTACTAATGTGTTTTTACTATGATTTGAT